TAGTTGGTGGACTAGATCAATGTAACAATTACTTAACTTATTTGAAATGTTGCGGCAGCATCAGTAGACTGGATGCTGATGATATATCAGATTGAGTACTTGCACAGGAATAGCACTGCACTCAAGTGAGGGAAATTCACTACTAGGTGGTATCCAGAGGAGCAACTAACCTTTCGCCTTCTAGTTGGAAGAATCTGTAAGATGGGAGAGGAGGCATGATAATCATCCATGATTTCACGTAATCTCTATCCACGGAAAAAGTAGTTGCTGTTCGGATCAAACAAATGATGAACTGTATTAAAAGTGTAGTGCGCTGCTGAAGCCAAGAATTTCGGACCAAGTGTTTAATGCTGAAGCAAGTGTGCTAGGAGTAAGTTAAATGCTTTCTGCATCCATGCACTGTCATGATGATGAAGTGAAATGCTCTGATGGCATCGCAGAATTATATTATTTTATGAGAACACACAGAGATACGGGACAATTCACTCTTTCTATTTCTATATTAATGTCTGACACTAACCCAAAATACAAGATGGCACGTTGTCCCACTTAACGTCCACGTACGCCAAGTCATCGATGGATAGTGATCATCTCATGAACCATGGATACTGCTCTAATCTAACCCAACGCCGCATGCATACGGTCAAGATTGAAGAGTAATCATCTAGGAAACCACTACGACTTCTAACTCGTTTCCAATCGGCTTCAACTACAAATAACGATCAGAGCTGTTATGTGGCCATCTATCCTGCCAGATCTGGGCTTCGGTCACACAACCTGTCGACTCTCTGGTCCAGTTCAAGCTGCTCTTAACACTGCTCCAACTGCAGCAGGGAAAATATAACTCCTACGGTTATTAAAGAATGTATTTATTAACGATGATATTTAAAGACAGTCTGTGATACGCAATCACACCACGACACCCATCAGTTATTTTGTTCCCTGGAAACCCACTTGTCCATAATCTGATCCAGTCAGCAAGGATAGACAAAATGACTGTTGAAAGTGAACTGACTGAGATTCGACTGAATAGGTGAAATTCTTTGATCCCCTACAATCAAACTCGGTGGTTGCTATTCCCATGCGAATCTAACTTTCCAACAAAAATACCAGCTGCATACTTCAACAACAATTAACCGACTGTTCCTCTAAGCACGAAAACATTGCTAATCTTTAGAAAGTCTAGCAATATGTCCATCCATCTGTAATATTGATAGTAACGAAAGATGCCAAAGTCCAATCAATGGTCACCGAAAGCTAGTTGACTTCTGTATCCTCGTCCAATACGACCCTAACTGACCATGAAAATGAAGATTAGCAAATGCTAAGGAATATGTGACTGGAATCTCCAAAAATCTTGACAGTAACTTTGAACGAAAAAGGGGGAAGAAAAATGTAATGTATCAGCATCAAGTGAAATTCACCAATTGTTTGGCTACTTAAAGGGACAATTTTTCTGTAGAACTCTACTAAGTGAAACGACCTTTGCGAAAAAAATAAATTGGTGTTCTTCCTGGAGATAAAGTTTCCATACTGTAAGATCAGTTAGACTGGCGTAAATCTACATCACAGTTGCCTAAAGCCCAATCATTTTCCTAACAGTATGAAAATAACATTCTCTAGTCAGCATCGAGAATATAAATGCTGTCTCTCACTGTAGAAGTTGCGACGCAACATTGTGAATCCAACTGTCTCTTAGAATGATAGGGACCGATTACTGGCCAGGTTAATTAGGGCATCAGCAAGTATAGAATATTCGAAGGTAGGCGTATTCACTGTCACCGTTTATACACCATTCCAAGTTCACTGATGAGTTCATAAGGCCAAGAAGGAAACTTCTTAATGTCCATGAACACAACTGTCAGACGGAGAAAATCATATGAAAATATTCTGTGTTGACACTATGTATTCACAGTAATCTGAGCACTCATCTGATTCTTTGTGAATACATAAATAATATTCATCCATCGAACCAGCCCACCATGATATATGCGAACATTCGAACCTACTAAAATTAGTGAGCCATACGAGACTACGCAATAATGGCTAAGCAGATAAACAGTAAGTCATGATGATTTTCAGTTGGCACGATCTGTGGACATATTTAGGAGACATAATGACGAAATTGAACTTTATTTGATCACGATGTTAGAGAAGAACATCAAGAAGTACGCCAAGTAGCGTTCACAGAATCACTTTTTAAGTCATTCCAATACTTTTCTATCCCATAAATACGAAAAAGAGGTGATAGAAGACAGTAGAAAACAGAATATGAATTTTCACGGGAAAATAATCCCCTTTGTGCAGTACGTCGCGAAATTTAGAGCAGTCACTGATAAACACAACCGAACGTATGGTACACCTTCCTGGCAAATAAATAAAACTGAAGCTAAACTCGATAAGCTAATAAGAGAACGATTCAATGTCATTGGGCTAATCCGATAGCTGTTTCAGCACAGACTGTTGGATCAAAAAGTTCTCTTCGAAAACTTCATTTTTTAAACCCTAAAGTTTATATGTTATCAAAGTAAGTGACAAGTTTGTGTGTCTGAAACACATAAAGGCTTTTTTGAAAATGAATTAATAAGTCGGATGATAATAATCCAACTTTTTGTCTCAGAATTCAACTGCACACATGGCAGCATAAATGATATCAAATTAGCACAACAAAAAGCAATGTTTCAGAGCTTTTAATCAAGGTAGATAAGCGGTTTTCAGATAAATAAGAATAGGTGATTATTAATGTCTGGAATTGAGCTGTATCAGGTTACTTTACAGATGCTGGTGGACGTTTCTGGCAAGGGTTCTTGAGACTTGATCACCATCCTGTCTTTCTCCGCTTCCTGTTAATCTGTTTATTAACTGCCATGATTTCCAACTTTAGAACAGGAGATAGACTGGTTCATCCGTTCGGCTCACTTGTTTTAAGAGTCAGACCAACTGACATGTGATCGTTGGCGAAAATATTTACTCAGTAATACGACAATTTTTTGTCACAGATAAAGTAATCAACTCTCTATCAGAAGACTCCTGTTACACGAAGCACGCTCTCCGCATACACTGCACGGTCTACACATAGAGACATAAGATCGTAGTCATAATGGCTTCCACCCATTTACTAATGCTTCGTTTGTGCGGTTACCAGTGTGGCTAAGCACAGCGTATTAGGTGGAAATATGAATAAACAGTCAGAACTAAGAGGTTCAACAACTGATTTGGCCTGAATGTGTATTACATTCGGCAAGGTACTTTTCTCAAAAAATAATACTAGTTAAAGAATCGTGTGCTTGCAAGAGATTTAGGAATAATAAGAAAAAGTACGTCACATCAGTAAGTCAGTGAGATCTGAGACGTGTGAAAAAGTAAATGATGACTAGGTGATGTCTTTGTGACACTAGGTAATAATGACTAGAAATCGCTCACAGTTTTGTTGTCCAGCAGATTGTTAGGGGATACACTGATAATATTAATGTGATACGCAGCAAACTTGAAGATGCCACTCATCTGCCGGATAAGCCAACTCTGCACAAAACTATACTAGTCTGATATGTAAGGTAAAAAGCTGCAAATTGCATTTCCAGACGATGTAATGAGCATATTTGCTGCAAACTCTCATAGCAGTTTGCGGTTTAGAACTTCTGGATAAAAATATTTCTCGATCCAAAGTTAATCTTTTGCCAAAGCCGTACAGTATTACTTCGTGTCACTTGAGAAATTTCGAAAAGATGAATATGTACTTATCCTCTACTGTGAACCCTTATTGATTGATCAAATGATAATGATCGCAAGCTCTGCATCCTGTGTGTCTTACGCTAGCACCTGTGTATCACCTCTCTTCTTACCTTCCACTAACGCACTGTTTCGTGATTCCGCAAGAAGTTGACGGTCTATAAGTATATTATAGATAAAAATTTAGACTTAAACCAATATCTTGTAATTTATTCTTATAAAGTTTCTGGATTTTTTTCCATTTTTTCAGTTTTTAATGTCATAAAACAGTGTTCCATTTCAAATTGCACTTGTCAAATATGCTCATGCCTGTACAAACGGTATGTCAATCATGTAAAGGCTTAATTTATGTGAATAAAATATTACTATTATAACAGCAGGAGGAGATTACACTTATTTTTTTATTTTGATTATAGCTTGAAACCACACAGTATTTTTGGTACAAGTATGGAATTTTCAGCATGTGATATCGGTAGCCCAAATTTTGTGGGCCGACCATTGATATCAGTTGTGCGCCGAAAAGGAATCGGACCCCGGACCATGTGCATGGTCGGCGAGAGTCTTAATCGCTGTGTCACCGACGCACACTAAATTATAGGGACCCCAAACGAAACTACCTAATAAAGACCCTGTCAATTCCCAATCGATTAATCAGATGCGTCCGTTGTTGAGGTGCGCGAAATTAGAAAAACGTCCATGTAAAGTTATTGAAATGTTAAAAGTATTTATATTTGAAAAAGTCCTCGTATATGTTTCAAGAAAATCTTTGAATTTCCCATATGAGTTCACATAGTTAGGTTGGACCGATTCCAGTACAAAAATTCGCCGAGATAACTGTAAATCATCGTGTTTCTTGATTTATTCACCTCTCTGACCCTCTTATTTGGGTGACTATAGAAACTTTCGATGGAATCCCTGTTAGTCCCAGCGAAAAGTTTAACGAAATCGTCCACCACATTGATCACATTGTAAAATATTGCCCAGAGATGACAGGTGAATATATGTATACTCCATTTCAGTGAGCCTGGTGTCTAAGAAGTGCTTAAATACTAGATTTGGATGAAATTCGCCAAGTAATGCATTCATAATTTCCTCTGTCTAATACGTACTCCACTCACTGGTTGTTCAAAGTCAGTAGTCCGTTTCACTAAGTAGTTTCTTTTAGTGCTTCTATAGTTGACATTCATCTGCTTTTATTAATGAATTATTCACAACCTATATAAACTGACATGATTCTGAATATTCGGTTTTGTTAAGAACAGGCTGATGGTGAATAGTGACCTTGGTTCATTTGGTTACCCATTCAAATGAAGGACATTTTGTGCTCCCAAATTTTGGGTTTTTAAATTCGCTTACTCAGGAAGTCATAGTCAAATGCATAAGTATTTTTAAATGCCGGATCCTACTTTCTGTATAAAACACTGTTCAGTGTGTCTGGTTCTTTCGTGTGATGCATTTGAGTGTTTTGTCACTGACTGTCCAAATGGATGTGGCATGCGTATGCACTCTTGCAAAATCAATGACCATGTTGACCAGATATGTCCCAAAACAATAGTTCCTTGTATTAACAAAGAAGTTGGTTGCCCCTACTTTCTATGTCGTGAGGACAGATCCTTTCACTTGCTCACTTGCCCAGCTAGTGTCGTTAGCTGTAATGCTCGGTGCCCTTGGCTTTTCAGGTGAGTAATAGTTGTTGTTATATATTCATATCGATATTACCATTCTTGTGGTATCACTTATCTTAGCGAGTCTGTGTCATCTGAAGACTGATAGGGAAGTACGATTCTGTCTTATCTTTTGATGTCTTTCAAAAGCCAACACACACCAATTTGCCAAATTGATCAATTTCTAAAACCCTAAATCTAGGTTATGGGTAATGCGATGTCATTTCCTCATTCTGACTACTTTTACAGTTATTGGATTTAGCTTTCTTTATACTCTGTGGTCATCCCGGATGTTAGTATTTAGAATGCCCACTCCCGTCATGCTAAATAAAAAGTCGCAAGTGAAGTGTAGAACTTCACAGCCTCTTCTGCCCACTAACTTTTTCATTTTTGCTGCATTTTCCTCACCAGATTTTGTGAATTTTGTGGTAAAGCACTGAAGATATTGTTGTGCTGCTATATTTTGACTAAACTAGAGTACAGGTATATTCTAGTACTTCTTCGCGTTTATAATTGTGACCTAACGTTGCGATTACTCGACATCCACAACGTAATTCAAAAGGCACTTGCGAAGGAATACGATAGTGTATTATTGCAGCAATCAAAATTCAAAAATCGAGCGAGCACAAAGTATCAATTGTTAACATGCAATCTTTAGGGTGATACACAAATCAAAGTCCAATTACATAGTGAAAGTATACTGCGATGATGAGTAATAAAACGGGTCACTACAATATATCTGATATATCTAAATATACCACATCTAGTAAACTTCCTCCATTAAAAGTCTGTCGTACCACTGTTTTCTGACTACTATGAATATATTATTATTTTTAAAACTAACTGTAGTGCCTAACAAATATAATAGTACGGCTAGAGCTTTTAAAATTTTTGTTGCTCTCGTTTTTCGTTTTGATAGATTTCATGTATAGTCGCAAAATTTTTTCTGTTGCAAGACCAGTAAAGCACTTCTGTAAATTCATTACCGTTGGTTTTACCGCAGACTATAGGCAAAGTTAAACAATGGCGTCCCAAGGGATGCGAACGCACGAGTAACCTTAAGCTGACCAACCATAAAAGGTTTTTGTGTGGAGAGTAATTAAATGGTCACCAGGTTGTTTTTAGCTAAAGTAGGTCTTGGACCCTTCATTTATAGCCTGTGATCAAATATGTATAATAAAGCTTGAGTATACTAAAAACATGTAATGTCTTAATTTCAGGGTAATTAGCTTTTTTCTGTGGAGTCCAGAGCATGCGTGCATTTGCTACCTGAGTACTTTTTGAATGTCTAATTAAGTCATTAATTTTAGCTCTGTTTTTTAAACTATAGTTTCCTATTTTATTTTCCACATATCAGTCAATCCGAAACGAAAACAGACTCTCTTGTCGCTTGCACTGTCAATCCAATCATTCATTCTGCCTCATGTAATTCATATATTAGTCGATCAATCAATACATCTGATCCTTCCATTACAGGAGTTGACAATGGTAAGCTAATTGGTGATCTGTACTATTTTATTTAGTTTATCAAGCATGTTGTATGATGAGGTTTATTTGTCGTCCTGTTTCCATTAAGGAAGTAGACGTAAAAGATAGCTTTCCCTGCGCACTTTGATATTTTTAATTTGTCTAACGGTAGATGTGCTTTTGTGTCAACTAAAATTGTATTATAACTTTTGAAAAGTTGTAATTTGGATATACTTAGTATGTACTCTTCATTGTCAACTCTAATATGCATCTTTTTTGTGTAACTGTATCCCATTTTCATATTTCACTTACATTTTTTTAAAGACTGGTTGATTGTTGTGTGAATTATTTTGCCAGCCATGTTGTAAATTGGAAATGCGTCAGCAAGTTACCTCTATGTACTGTTATTAAAGAAGAGTTTCTATCACAATTGACTTCCCCTAAGGTTTCATCGATCTTAAAAATGTACATTTTCGAAACATACTTGACTCTGTCTTTTTCATCTATCAAGATATCAGGGAGTATGTACTGTTGCCGTAAATGTAGCATTTTTATTTAAGGCTCTTGTCCCTCTGTGTTTGTTGCGTTATACAAATTTTCTCGCATTAAGTCATTCCTATCACCCATACGTCCTTCTGGCTTTATCATCCTAATATTCTATTTGTGTTATGTTCCCTACATGTTAAAACTCAGTTTTCTGCGACAGATTTCTGATGTGCCAGACTATGAGCCACTTACTTTGTGAGGTTTGGTGATACTACGCAGTCTGTCGAAGCTGAAGTATCTGGGGTGTGTTTCAAACCTGTAATCTGTTGACTAACAGTTGAATATTTAACCCGATCAGCTACTTCCGTACATACAACAGCCACAAATAAAAAAATATATTTGTACATTTTTACACTCAAACCGTCTCTGATCTTCAGAAATATGATTAAATGAAGTATTAACATTATTACTCACGTAATTGGTTTAATTAACAACTTCCCGTGACAACCTTTTTGATTACTCAGTGACACTTAGTCTGAGAGGAATTCATATGAAGCCTAGTTCACTTAGTCCTTTTAGAGTTCAACAAAAGCAAATATAGTAATGAAATCGTAAAAATATGCTACAAAAGAAGAAAGATAAAGAGTCGGAATAAATCTTTTACTTAGTATTAAGGCTGTATCTGGGTCATTTCAGTCAATTTTTGTTGTGGTGAGAGCTGTCTACTAGCCAAATTGGTAGACAGTAATTTACGTCAATGTTTACGTTCCTAAGATTTGTCGTGAGAAAATGTGAACAAAGATTGATTCAAAACCGACCACAGCAGACTTTGCGTAGGCAGATGCAGTTAACATATAGAGGATTTGACATTCAAGAAACAGTCACAAATAGATGAAAGATTAACTTCACGTGAGAAACAACCAATCGGAAGACTGTGTTTGTTTGCTTAAATATCCATAGTAATGTGCATGAAATATATAAATATGCGTTGATTTCCTTAATAAATAATCTGTTGCTTGACTCTTGCCTTCTGTTGTTACATTGTGACCATTTTTACTCTCTCTAGAATACAATAAGTCAACCAATACTTATGTGTAACATATTCTAGCGGTTATTCACTGCTACAAGTATTTTCATGTCTTGTTTTGATATGTTTCAAGCATTCCTATCTGAAACAATCAACATGTCTTATATTTAAAAACAGATAAACGGTATAGATTTTGTCACGAACCCACGTCAGTCAGTGAATTATTGAAAGCCACGGAGCACCAGGTAACCGTTTTGTTCTGACTTGGAACCTTTCAGCACTGTTCACTAACGACTCCACCTGGGGTTTGCAGGTTTCGAGGCCTACTCTTCGACCATTCAGTTACTGGCTCGGAGTAACGAATATCTTTGACCTAAATGGATAGTATCTAGTACTTATATCAATTACTGATGTTCAGTCTATCTTATCATTGCTGCAGTAATATATATATATATATATATATATATATGAAAAATAGAGATTTATAGCTGTGGTGAATGATTTTAATGTGGTTTCATTCTTTGAGCTGGATAGCTTGATTGCAAAGCTTTTGTTGTCCTTCTAGACAACATTTTCAGTGCTAACCTCAATATGAAGTGAACTTATTTGAATTCTCCATGAGTAAAATAATTGTATCTCCTGACAATATCTGTTATGCTTGGTTTTGAATTCGTATCAGTATTGATCGTTTTATCGACTTCGAATTTGATCTTTTGTTATTTGGCTCATTCTTTTCTTATTTGATAAATTTGATGTGTCTGTTAGTCTTTGATTCGTCTGAGTACCAGGTTTCTAGGAATTTTTTGACATTTTCGGTGTTTCCAGTGTTAAAAATTTCTATATCTTTCCAGCGGATCTGGTGTCCATAGTTGTCTTCCTGCACTGATATAAAACAATACGTCTTTTAACGGCTAGCTTATGTTTTGGGGCTTAGAGTCGAATGGAACGTCCACTTTGATCAGTATGCTACTTGTCACAGCTCGTGCAATCTAGTTTGTAGATCTTGATCTTGTCTTTTTCTGCGTAGTATTGAATGAAGTGATAGTATTGGTTCGTGTCCGATATCTAGGCCGAATGGTTTCAGTATTCTAACCATCATTTCAGAAACATTCTTAATATATAGTAGGATGAATTTTCTTGTGGTTTCTTGCTGGTAGTTTGATTTGAGTTTGGACATTTTTAAAAATGAAATCCTAGACTTTTCCATTTTTCTCAAAGTTGGTTAATAAATATTTCTAACCTATTCTCCTCAGAACTGGAGTGTTGCAATGTGTCTCAGCTGTTCTGAATGATGTTTGTACACAGTTTCTTTTCTTTGTTGTTGAATTATTGCTGTCGTAGTCGATTGATTGATTTCCTGAATACCTATATTCCTAGATTTCATGTAGCTATTCTCTTGACCAAGACATCTAACAAAGGAATTTCGTTTTCTGATTCTTCTCTTTTGAATTTGACGTCCTAAAACACGTTGTTGATTAATTTGTGAATGTATTCTAACTCATTTCCTTGAATTATGATAAATTTGTTATCAACGTAAAGTATTCAGCCTTTTGTTTCTATTATTGGTAGAGCTATCGTTTTTAGTCTTAGCGTAATAGCTTCAGCATTTAGTCCTGATTTGAGCGATTCCATCGGTATCGTTTTTATCTGTTCGCATATATGTTCATTGAATTGAAAATGTGTTATATAACTCTGTGAGCTCCATCCAAATTGAATATTGTTTTTGTTTACTTATCACCATAGGGTAGTTGTTGTATAGTTTCTTTCTCCAGTTTTTGTCTAATTGAAGTCTATAGTCCTGTGAAATCAAAGGACGCCATGATTCTACTCTCATTTAGTTGTGTGTTTTGCTTTCCCCTAAAAGTTGGGTTCGCGAACTGACACAATGATCGCATGATTCTTTAAGATATTTTTTGAAAAGTTCTCTAGACAGACGTTACCTAGAAAAACAATGAAAGCTTGACAATATATATATATATATATATACATGTAAATATACCCCTCTGTAATATTTTGTACACTTATTGTTTTTGTTTTCTTTTATGCAGTCAGTAATCAACGGCCTTTACCTACTCATACTGAACAAATCACCAATGTACTGAAGTTAATCAATGAAGAACAGATTGATAAAACAGTAACTAGCAAATTTGTTGACTCCCCGTTATCATCTTATATGTGTGATCATGTAAGTATTATTGTGTACTTATTTCCATAGATTATGTTTATATTAGTTATTATTTATATCTGACGAGATTAGTTTTACCACTCTACGTCAGAGTACATCATACCCTATCCTCATTTAAATTACGATACATTATATAGTGTAGGGAAAAACAGTGAGGTAAATAGTACACCTTTGTCATTTTGTAGGCCTAGGTGGCTGACTGGTCAAAGACACTTCGTCTCGTAACCCGACGTTTACGAGTTCGACCTCTAGTGGTATCGTGAGTTCGCAATGCTAACGAATCTCAAACTAAGACGAAACAACTGCCCAGTACTCCCTGTTTATCTGCGTCAGTTGTTCACAGGCAGAATGCCCACCAGTCATATGCGTGGTTCATGTTCGATTCCTAGCCGACGCACCCCCAAACCTCACCTAGCTGGTAGTAAGCCCAATGATAAGGGAAGGTTAGGCGTGAGGCTAATAACCCCATTCCGTATAAAAAAATACAAAAGTTATTGAAAACTTCAAAAATTAAAGCTTGAAGTCCTGTTTTCCCCTTGGAACACAAAGAGATGGAAAAAAGCATCTGTCAATGAGTTAAAGCTGTCGCACTGAAATAGGTGAAATGGACCTCAAAGTTGTGACCTACAGGCTAGTAATCGGTTGTTTAAATCAATGAACTACAGCGCAACGGATAGCATAGCAGTTAAATTTACTGTAACTCAAGTGTTTTCACATATTTAACTTTTTGTGCTGAAAATGATTTAGTTTTCCATCTAAAGGAATTTTTCAAATATGAATATATATATATATATATATTACTTGCTACGACAAGAATTGTCACTGTTAATACCCCATACACATTAAATTGACGATAATTTAAAACTGTATGTGTTACTAAAGTGAATTCTGTTATTTCTTAAGTTTTCATATTTTTCTGGAATATAATATGCAGTTTGCTGTATCCCTTTTTATTTCTTTGAAGTGTGATCTATTGAAGAGGCTAGCTTTCTTTAGCCACAGGTGTTTATGGCTATCTGTCATGCTGAGTGCTCTAATATAGTGAGTACTATTTATGTTATGCGTAGATTTTGAGATAAGGGAAAATCAACAGATGAGGTTGTGAAGCTGCATTGATTCAGATAGCTAGGACGCGTATTACGCATGCCAAGCTATCGCCTTCCTTGTCGAACAATTTTAGCTGACATAGATGGTGGAGGTGTAGAAGGTCTAGTTGGGATCCTTGGTTGTAACTTCAGTGATAAATTATTTTGTCTAATTGAGTCAAAAGGGTACACAAAATTTATCCCTGAATGAGTTTGTAGGTTTAAATGCCACCCTAATTCTTACTTTTTTCAGAATCCTACGTAGGGGTTTCAGATGTCCCCTCCGTATATGATGAAACTGCAGATGCTTTTAATTCTTTCTTATATTATGTTTAATAGTTCCACTACTTTTTTCTTTTATTGTGAGCTTTTTTGAACTTCATAATGAATTTTACAGAGTAGTTATTTTGGCACTAATGCTTCTTCTACCAGTTTCATTTCATTATGTAGGTTCTCGGATGTACTACTTAGAGTTATTACTTGGTTTTTTAGGCACTTAACTAAGCCTGTCTTTACAGATATTGGATAAAGTGACTTAAAGTCTAAATATCTATTAAAATGCTCTGGCTTTTAATAACTGCTAGTGCATAATTCACCTTCACTTGTTCATCTTACCTTACAATCTAACATAAAGGGCGGCCTGCTTAAAACTTGGGCTACCGAAAACCCCCATCAATATATTGCACATTATTTCTTTTATTCATTTTGTTTAAATCTAGTAAAGTATGACCTCTAATAGTATTGTTTACTCTGGTGAGTATTTAAAACATTTACAACCTGCTGATTCTCAAGTTTCTGTTAAACATGAGAATAAGCATTATCCTCGATAGTAGCTTATCTCAATACATGAGATAACCGTTCCTGAGTTGTGTCCTCGGTTCTCAAAATGTACTCCTGTAGTTTTTATAATTGGCATGTCGTGTACTTCTCTAAGGGAAAAAAGAAGAGATATAATGGATTGGGTGCTCTTCAAGTCAGATAGAACTGTCACACAATCTAATGCCAATTAGTCTTCTACTTGAAATTCTTGGACGAAGAGGAAATATAATGCAATAAACTCCGCTGGAAATTCTGTACATCATATAAGCATTGTTCAGAATAAAGCTATTATTATTATTATTAATCTCTTTGTTCATTTTCTAACTCAAATGTAAATTTAATTCCCTCCTCTATGGAGTTTATGTGTGTGTTCTGTTTTTAAACATCGTGAAAATGTCAGCCACATATCTCCACTATAGCTTTGAGGTCACATCATAAGTAAATAATGCTGTATTACTGTAGGTTTTTATCAAGTAAAATTATTCTATGATAAAATCGTGCTCCTCTGGTTAGTTTAACTTTGTTAAAAAAATAATGAATTACAAAGAGATATAATCACCTTCATCCTTTGGATTTCGAATTATTAAAAAAAATTGACAATTTCCGTCATGATCACGAAATGACTTCAAATAGAGACCCATTGAAAACTGGGGAGTTCTGGAAAGCTGTTTCGTCCTTTTTTGGGACTCTTCGTCAGTATGCACCCATTACCTCACCAGGGACCAAACATAAGACCTTCAGGTTACAAGGAGACCTCGTTGAATATTTAGCGATTGGAACAGAATCCAGTGATCTATCAATTCTAACTTGTGTCAATTCGTGATATATAGTACGACCGCCGTCATCGGCGAGTATTTTTCCTCACATCCTGGCTACGACTCCTAACTAGAACTTTGAGCGACTTTATTCTGTCTACGAGCTTTCCTCGCAACCTTGAAGGTCTCGGATTCAATCTCTGGTGGCGTCATGGGTGTTTGCTGGTGAGGAGTCTCAAACAAGGATGAAACATCTGTCCACTACTCCCTGTTGGTTTTCAGTGATTTTTTAACTCAAGTCACTTTGTGGTCAATTATTACATCAATCAAATCCCTTCAAACTAACACTTGAAAACTGACAATTTATTATCTATGTATATTTTTTCTTTTTTTTAATATAGCCAGGATATGTTTGTGGACGTACCGTTCACAGAACTAATTATGGATCACATTATCAATTACATTGTAATGTACAAGCTCAATTGGATGGTTGGATAGAACTTAGATGTCCATTGTCTTTTTTAGGCTGTAAATATGCTGTTGTCAATCTTCGTCCCAACAGTGAACATAATCATTTGTTATATAATCCAACACTGGCCACATTTACAACACGATGTGAATCAGAAAGTATTGATTATAACAATTCTATATATTCAAAGTCAACAAATTTACATTATGACTTTGATTTTGATAAATTACCAGCAGAACTATTAGTATATTTATCCTTTTTCTTAGATGATATGTCATTACTATGTTTATCTAGAGTTTCACAAAGATTATCACTTATTTATAAGGATATCCTATATGCAAGACTTATTGTTACACCGAAATGGGATAAGATACACTATAAATCATCAGATATATTCTCATGGAGAATTACAGGATTTATATGGTCATTTCCACAACGTGCTGAATCGATTATTAGCTGGAGATCAGCACATGGTGCATCAGCTAGAGCTAAAATCGCTGCGCATTTAACCAATTGTCATTATAATGATAAAACGATACGCGTATTTCCTTTCTGTTATTTAGAGTAAACAAGCTTCTACTTCGTTTTGAAAGCCATGACCACCAAGTGCCTATATGTTTCATCGCTTTATGAATTTTACATTTCCCGCCTACCTGTCTGCGTCAGGTGTAATTAAATTACAGAATAATGTAGAAATGTGCCTTCACTTTTTTTTTCTGTCTTCTGTTATATTTCACTTCAATTTTTATGATGTATGTTTGTCTTTTTTTTATTTCATTAGGTTAAAGTACTACAACATAGGAATGAACTTTCCATTTCTCTATATCTTGTATCCTTCTTCACCATTACATTAGGCTATGATTGGTTGTCACCGTCGTCTTTTCTGTACATACTTACACGTATATACCAACCAACACCTCTAATGACTACTAAGCAAAGTTAGTTAATTATAGAGGATAAGTGTTCACTTGACTTCAACAAAAATGTCATCATTTCAGTGATATTATTATGATTAATTTACTTTGTCTTTCAGTTATATTTCTTCTCCTCTCAAAAGTGATTTATTTTTTTCATTTTGAATTATTATTATTAGTAGTATAGATTATTGTATAAATATATTTGTATAAACATACATATGTGGAAAAAAATATATATATATACATACATACTATTATTATTATTATTATCCTTTTGGGTTCTGAGTGGAATATAGAGCTTCAACAATACATCTTTATTTCACCCTGTTTTCTGCAGTCCATTTTAGCTGGCTCTACAACTATCCAAATCCACTTGACTTAATCTTCTGCATGTCACCCTCGGAACGACGCTCAACCGGGTCTCTTACCTTTTGGGTTCAACTCAAGCGCCTGGGATGTGATTTTACTTGAAGGTCTCTTTAGTGTATTTCCAACCCATCTACATTTCCATGTGTATATATGTTGGGTAAAAGGTTCTCCGCTGGCTCGCTGCTCTGCCAGAGTTACTTGTTGCTTATCTTTTCCAACCGGCCATCTGGTCTTCAGCATCGACCTACCAAAGGTAGCTCTGTTGATGAAAATCTGCAGTAACCTGTTGGAATTTTGGTCATCCGGATTGTCAGTCGTCGCGTAAAAATACTCAAGCCCCACTAGCCCTGTTGATAATATTTTTTTCTTTTCAAGAAATTATAATAAGTCATAAGTAAGAAATTTAGGTGAAATGTAATGTGAAATTGTGCGTTGGTGGTAAACTGCTCACCAACCACCTACGTGGCCTGGGTTCGATCCCCAGCCCATACACTCGTAGATCTCGCCTAGCCGGTAGTAAGCCCTATAGTGAGGGAGGTTGGGTGTGAGGAAGGCAACCCTACCCCTCAGAAACAACACAAGCGCTCCTGAAACTTAAAGTTCAAGCCCTATATGTCCCAATCAAAATGGAAATTCTTTTGGTGATGTTTGCATCGAGTCTCTGAACCAGGCAGAAGCACTGACTTAACATTAGTGTTAAAAAAATATCGCATCTTCTTTGTTGTGCTTAGTGCAGTAAATTTCCGCATTGATTTCGGAGTAATGAATGTCTGTCTTGCTTTTCTGATCCAGTCCTATGACATTCTCCCTTATACCGCCTGTAGTTGAAACGATGCTATCCAGGTAAGTGGAAGAGACGACTTCTTTTAGATTTCTCCCACTGATGGTGATCAGTGTCCATTGTTGTTGTTCGGGTATCTTCATCATCTCTGTCTTCTTTATGTTCACCTGAAGGCCTGTCTTCGTTGATTATTCTGCCAACTTATTAGTTTTTGCTTGCAAATCTTTAAGTTTTCTCAGCATGAGAGATACATCATCAGCGAGATCTAAATATTCTAGGGTCTATCTGTTGACCTAAAGGCTGGCTGGCTGGTTGGATTCAACATAGTACTTGGCACCGAAGTGCAGCAGTTTGAGTTGCCACGTTCCAAACAGCACACAAAGGTAGACAAGAAAATGAGTGAAGAGAATCAATAGAGTTTTGACAAGTATAAGAGTGAAACAGAATGAGTAATGGTAGAAAGGAATATGAAAGATTACAGAGACTGAATACATCTGCGTAAGCCATTGACAACGATTTTGAGCCATGTCACCTAGTGTCTCCAGCCATTGATTCTTAGAGTCCCGAGGGCCCCAACCCGGAAGTCTGCATCTCCCTACCTGACTCAGTTTAACCGTCAGGGATTTCATGGATTGATGCCATGTTTTTGTTTGGCCATCACTTACTCTTTTCCAACCTGCACCTATATCAGGTAGTAATGCCCATCGGGGGAGGCGATGGCTAGGCATGCGCAGCACGTGACCTAGCCTTGTCAATCTATGCAACTTTATAACCTCTTCGATCGATTTTCCCTCTTTGGCCAACACTCTACGCCTAACGTCAACATTACTTACCTTATTATACCACCTAACGCGAGAAAGAGATCGTAAACATCTGTGGTCAAAAACAGACAATCTCTTCATGTCTTCCGCTCTTAATGGCCACGTCTCACCGCCATAGAGAAGGACGGAGCGAACTGCTGAGCAGTACACACGTCCCTTGGTTGACAGCCGGATGTCACGCCTACGCCAGAGACGGTGTAAGTTAGCGAAAGCAGCCCGAGCTTTCTGGATCCGTGCTGAGTTTTCGTCACCAATCAATCCGTTGGTGCTGATACAACTTCCCAAATAGGTGAAGTGGTCAACATGTTCTATCATTTCACTCCCTATCACTAAGCTAGGAGTTGACGTAGTCCAGTCCTGTAGCAGCATCTTACATTTCACAGGGGCGAATCGCATGCCAAACATACGAAGATTGCTGCTCAAGGTGTTCAGAAGACTCTGCATTTTGTCATCATCCTCCCCTAACAGGACTATTTCATCTGCATATTCTAAGTCCATAAGACTATTCCCTGGTAACAAGTCGATTCCTAAGTCGTTAACTTCAGTTAGGGATACTTCCATTAGCAGTGTAACCATACAATCTGGTGAATTGTAATTTCGTCTTGGGATGTTAATCAGTAAGGGAATTCTCTGAAATAGGACATTGTGATATTTGAGATTTATCGTTAACCCCTGGGGAAGTTGAATACAGTTATAACATTTGAATAGTGTTATTAGAAGACAAAGTATATCTAAAAAATATGTGGTATATTTCCGCATTATATTTTGGACAATCTGATCACACGTTTACCTCTTATGAAATCAATCTATATGAAAAATGCAAAGTTAATTAGAATTTTAAAAAATTATAAGCGATTTAAGAATTTGAAGGATAATATTTATGATTGGACACTAGTGTCAGTAACTAGTACAATGCATCTAATCCTTTTTTTGGTGCAGACTGAATTCTATTAGTCAAGTTTGCAATGTGGCCACCATGCTAGGTGGCTCACCATCATGGTACACTGTGAACTGTTGGTATTAGATGGTTGGAAGCAATCGGCAGGAAGCTCTGGACCTAGGTTTCGTGCTGGGTCGAGGTTGCGGATACGCCTTGCTGATCAGTGCCAACTAGCACGAAACCTAGGTCCAGGGCTTCCTGCCGATAGCTTCCAACCATCTAATACCAACAGTTCACAGTGTACCATGATGGTGAGCCACTTAGCATGGTAGCCACATTGCAAACTTGACTAATAGAATTCAGTCTGCACCAAAGATAGGACTAGACACACGCATTACACTGGTTACTGACTAGTGCCCAATCAAAAGTACCCAATACAATCCTACAGCAGGTCAATCGCGAGCCTGAATAGTTCATTGGTAACGTCTCTAACTGCAGCACTGGATGACACGGGTTCAAATCTCAAAAGAGACATCAGTTCCTTCGACGTTGCAGATACACCTTGCTGATGAGTACCAACTATCACGAAATCTAGGTCGATTGCCTCCAACCATCTAATATCAACAATGAAGGATAATAGTCAACGCTACTTTTGGTAATATCATCACATAAGGACTACCATTGTAGTAGGTAAAGGGTAATAAGAAATTGTTTTTGCATACACGAAGGTGGCGTGTAGGGAGAGAGTGGGCTAATTAACTTGACGTATCTATATCGCCTGAGTGTATTTCAGTATGCTCCTCCCGTGACGACTTGTATAAATAATTTTGGAGGGTCTTTCTTTTTATCAGTCATCTGATTCATATGAATTAAACATTTTCCCATAGACAGAGTTGGTAGGTAGTCTGCCACCTGCGCTTATCGAGGTTGCACAGTTAAAACTGTTTTTCAAACCACTTGAGTATTTGTTCTCCGACTCTCACGTCCAAAGTGCTATTATTACCCCATATGTATTTGTGACCACTCACATGTAAGTTAATATACTGATTGGGATGTGACATAATCATTTGTGCAACGTTGAGACTTGTGGTAAGGCGTTTTTGTCTTTTTTTTCTCGATAATTATAAGGTAAGTTTTACGAAATGATCGAATTTAGTCACTGTCTTAAAATCCCACTATTTATTTCCTCCTTATAAGTTAATTTGATATAGACGCATCCTTCTTTACTTGGATGGAATAGACTGTAGGCTTCAAAATTAACCAACTGACCTTTATACTTCACTTCAAAATCTTCAGCTCTTATAACAACCTGGATGAAATCTGAATAAGTACATTCAGTGTTGCATTCCTTTTTAACCCTTAAGTTTTTGTTGGATTCAGAAATAAATGTCTGATAAGCAAAAATTTATTTTTACTTTATTCTGCCTAATAGAAAAAATAACTTCACCTCTAGAAAATGATGTACATTTTTGTCTGTAAAAAAGGTGAGAAGAAAGAACTGTACTCCCTGGTTTTCAATAGTTCTCTAACTGATATCAATCCGTGATAAACTCGTAAAAACATAATTAACCCTTACAAACCAAACTATAGAACTGTTTTAGTTAATCGGTTGTTTAAACTGTAAAAGTATGCCTAAAAATGAATCACATGTTAAGTCTGGACTATTTAATTGAAACAAGTCACATATTCTTCAATTCATGAATTTAAAATATATTTAAACGAAAAAAACACCCTCACACTTGGTCTTTGATCACTGGACTTTAATCAACATATTTATGAATTTTATAGTGTTATAAATTGAAGCCTATCAATCAATACTGATATAAAAGTCAATCTGAACGAAGAAGAATATTCTTTTCAATAATTTCTCTTCAGGTTCTTACAATTATAAAATATAATATTTATTGTCGTTACAATATTTTGTAATCGATTTCAGCCTAGCACGACGTTTGTCACACAAATACGACTATTTATTTTGACACCCCATAACTACTAATCTGTTATTCTACGTTAAAAATGTATCCGCCGCATAACTGGCCTTTATTGCAACGACACCAGGTATTATATTTTATAATTGTAAGAACCTGAAGAGAAATTATTGAAAAGAATATTCTTCGTTCAGATTGACTTTTAATTCATAATATGGGAATATTCCACACTATCAAATCCAATACTGATATGCTAGTCATTGTTTTGTCAAAAAATAATAATAATCGTTATTTTCACGTTCAGTTAGGAAATAAACCACTAGACGTGGAAGTCATATGATCGTAGATAAGAAAAATCTTATCGGAATGTGAAAAGTCATATTATCACGTATTGGTCTGCAAAGATTTGATTGGTTACAAGTTTGATGTCAGTCAGAGAACCATT